AACAATAAAATTATAAAGGCAATCTGCAAAGTGGGAAAAAATATTTGTAAACAATGTATCTAATAAGGGGTTAACATCCAAAATAAATAAAGAACTTATACAACGTAGTTACAAAAAAACCCCACAAATAATGCAATTAAGCAGTGGGCAGAGGATCTGATTAGACATTTTTCCAAATAAGACATATGGATGGCCAACAGACACATGAAAAGGTGCTCAACACTAACATCAGGGAAATTAAATTAAATTAAATTCACAATGAGGTATCACCCTACATCTATTAGAATGGCTATTATAAAAAGGACCAGAAATAGCAAATTTGGGTGAGGATGTGGAGAAAGTGTGCACTGTTGGTGCCATGTAACTTGGTGCAGCCACTATGCAAAACAGTATGGAGGTTCCTCAAAAAATTAAAAATGGAACTATCATAAGATCCAGTAATTCCACTTCTGGGTATTTATCTGAAGAAAATGAAACTACTAATTCAAAAAGATATGTGCACCCCTGTGCTCAATGCAGTATTGTTTACAATAGCCAAAGTATGGAATCATGAAAAGGTGCTCAACACTAACATCAGGGAAATTAAATTAAATTAAATTCACAATGAGGTATCACCCTACATCTATTAGAATGGCTATTATAAAAAGGACCAGAAATAGCAAATTTGGGTGAGGATGTGGAGAAAGTGTGCACTGTTGGTGCCATGTAACTTGGTGCAGCCACTATGCAAAACAGTATCAAAAAATTAAAAATGGAACTATCATAAGATCCAGTAATTCCACTTCTGGGTATTTATCTGAAGAAAATGAAACTACTAATTCAAAAAGATATGTGCACCCCTGTGCTCAATGCAGTATTGTTTACAATAGCCAAAGTATGGAAACAATCTAAATGTCCTTTGATGTACGAATGGGTAAAGAAACTGTGGTTTATATATACAAATAAAATTATTATTCAACCATAAAAAGGAATGAAATCTGGCCATTTGTGATGGCATGGATAAACTTGGAAGGCTATGTAAAATAACCAGACAGAGAAAGACAAATACTGTATGTTAATACTTATATGCAGAATCTTAAAAAATAAAAGCCAATTTCATAGAAACAATAGAATGGTGGTTGTCAGTGACTGGGGGTAAGGGAGAAATAGGATAATGTAAGTCAAAGGATACTAATGATTACTTATAAGAAGAGTTAGTTCTGAGGGTCTAATGTACAACATAGGGACTATAATTAAAGATAAGGCATTATATACTTGAAAGTTGCTGAAAGTAGATATTAAGCAGTCTCACCACAAAAACATTTTTTAAAGTAAACTATGTAAGGTGACAGGTATGTTAATTATCTTGATCTTGGTAATCATTCTGCAATGTACATGTATATCAAATCATCATCTTGGATACTTTAAATATATACAATTATGTTTGTCAATTATTCCCATTTATTCCTCAACAAAGTTTAAAACAACATACTGTAAAGCTTCTATCATTAAAACACTGTGGCTCTTATGCAGAAATAGATGACCATTCAAGGAAAACAGAAAACATAGTCCAGGTACAGACCCATGTACCATGGAAGTTTAGCATATGATAGATACGGTATTTTAAAATCACTGAAGTAAAGAAGAATTGTCTAACAAATGGTTCTGGGACATTTAATAAGCCATTTACAAAAAGATAAAATTAAATACACATACACACATATATACACAACATTCACAATAAAAAATTTTTCAAATAATTTGCTCAAGGTTCTTAGGCAAACTTCTCAATTCTCATTCAAAAGGTGTTAATCCCAAAAGTATGGTACTTTTCAGGTATTAGTTTAAACCTTTTCCCATCCAACAATTAACAAAAGCTATCAGAGTAGTTATATACCCAGGGCTCATCACTTTGGCCCCTAACAGAATTACTTTTACTGAATTGTACTTTGGCATTATGATATCAGTCTATACTGAAAGATGGAAATTACACAATACCATGAACTGCTGCCTTTCTTTTGAGCAATTAATATGTTTTCATCCAAGAATAAAGAGATTTATAAGTGATAATGCTTCATTGTTTTGGCCAGTTAAGAAGTCCAGACTCAAAGGTGCAGTCCAGTTCCAATGGAGTGTACAGGACTTCATGCTGTATTTTGGGGAAAAGGTTTTACAATTTCAGCTGAGTTCTTAACACATCTCAGATACGATCTTATTAGTCCCCAGTAACTCCCCTACCAACTCTTCACAGAACTCAAGCATCCTCCTACATGCACACGTTTTTCTTATTCTTGGATATAGCCTCATACAGAAAACAGTCTGTCCTACTTGACTTCTTTCAAATTCTTTCTCCTGAAACAAATCCCTACACTTGTGCTATGTATCTCATTTATTTGTAATGTTTCTTTTTAGAGAAATGCACTCAAGGCTGTGAACTTCCCTCTAAATGTTGCTTTCAGTTTTTATGATTTCTTCTCATTCAGTTCTAAATATTCTAGTTTCCATTGTCACTTTTTTCTTCTCTGTATGTTTTTAAGTTACCAAAAGTTTATTCTACTGCCCTTATGGTGTAAATTTAAAATTTAATTGCACTGTAGACAGAAAATGTAGCCTTCTGGGCAGTGAATGTCCAGGTGCACTACTTTCAAACCTTGTTTCATAAACCCTCCTTAAATGATTTCATCTATTACAATTGCCTCATCTAATACTTCATGTAGATAACCACATAAATACATATCTCTAATCTACTCCTCTCTCCTGAGTTTCAAGCCTACAATTTTACACACTTATGAAACTAATTTCCTGTATGTCTTACAGGCACTTCAGCCCAACAAATTCAAAACCAAAGTATGTCCATCTATCCTGAATATCTTCCTCTTCTTTTTTATTCTTGATTTTTACAATAGTGATCTACATTCTACCCAACTGTTCAAGCAAGAAATATTAAAATTGTATTTTATTCCTCTCTCACACAGAGTGAATGAACTGAATGAGTAGTTCAGGTACTGTGAACTACATTTCCTATTACTTCTCGAAACCATCCTTTCCTGTCCATTGTCATGAGCACCTCATCATTACTCCCCAGCCTTGGATTATTTACCTATATCATCTTTAATTAGTTTTGTCACATCTCCCTTCTGGTCACCTCTCCCTCTCTCCTTCCCTTTTACCTTTGCTCCTGCTACCATGCATAGGTTGAAAACAAGTCTGCTAACTTCATTTTGCTTAAAAATCTTTGATCACTCCTACAGGATAAAGTCCAAATTTAGCATAACACAAAAGACCCTTTATCTGAGAAAATTTATCTACAGTGCAAGGAGAAACTTTTCAGGCTTATCCACTATTAAGCATACTATTTTAAATTCTTGGACCTGCAATTATATTAAAACCCTAATGTTGAGAAGGATTTGGATAAAAATGCTGTCACATATATGATTGCCTATATATTATACTCTTACAGTCAAGAAGTTATGATTTTTAGATTAGGCCCTACTTGCTAAAACAACCTTGTACCAATTCTAGAGAGAGTACAAGTTACATCTTTAGCCCCATAAAAATTCCGAATACAGGTAAGAAGGAAGAATTGGACCAGTCTGACAAGGTCAAGCTCTGGACCTTGTATTAGTAGTGCTGAAATCAAAGACAATGAGACAATATTTTGAGTGGTGATTATAAGTCATAAAATCTCAAAGACAAGAGAGAAAAAGAAATGTCTTTGCAAAACAAAGTAATAAGTAAAAATGTGGCCTATGCATCCTTTAGTCTTTATGAAAAAGAAGAAAATTATCCAAAACCATACTAATAGTAAGAAGGTGACACAGTTCCTCCCAGCACATGTAACATCTATAACTCAAGTTACACTAGAACATTCCATATTTATGAGAATAACTTTTAAACATAATAAAAGATAAAAAAGGTTCTGTACCCTGAATATGAGATGGCAGGTAAATATGATTCATTCCAGGAAGGTTTTCATGAAAAGTGAAAAGCATGCAGGCTTAAGAAATAAACTTACATCACTATTTTAATTATCTGCTAATTACTGTTGAATTACTCAAAAGAATTTCTTTTTTCCCAGAATGATGACATCGTTATATTGTTGTATTTTACCTCCTATTCCTTCCCTATTAAGAAAACTAGGTACAATGTAATGTTTTAGATTTTTGAATTATCAATATCCAATGTGTTTTTAAATTAGACAATAAGTAAGAATAGGTATTTGCTAAAGAAATCAGCCAACCCTGAAAGATAGTTGTGGAGTAAGAAGTAGATCTATGGTTTACAAAGAGAGGGAGAAAGCATTAGTACAGTACTGTTCCTAGAAACTCTGCCTACTATTCAGACACTATGGGGACTTTATTGCTCTGAGATATTCATTCTGAAGGCAAATTTTCTCAGCTCTACTACTCCATCTATAACTCTGAATACATGTATATATTTTGGATTTTATTTCTGAACTAGAGTGAGCTTCAGAAGCTTTATCCCTATGTAGTTTATCTTTGAATCATGAAATGAATTTTTAAAAACTCAAATGCTTAATAATCAGAAGCTTATGTCCCATGTGGTCTATGGGAAAAAGTTGCTCTACATCATCAGCCAAAGTCAAAATTTTAAGGAATATATAAGCAAATTTGATCTGTGAACTATAGATTTAATTATATTTATTCTAGAATATGAGATATAAATGATATATGCATATAGCAAAAATTAGAAGCATGTTGCATTACAAATTCTGTCGAGTTTATGTCCCAAAATTTGATTTCAAGCCCCAAGTGTGTGTTACTAATAGTGTACAGAATAAATAATCTGTGATGTAATCAGGACTATAGCTTTTCTAGGTCCTTGGGATCACTGTTACATATCTTCCAACATAATAGAAAAAATTCAGTCCAAACTACTTACAAAGATACTAATTTTAAAGAGAATCTTTCTTAAGCCTACTTTGTAAAAACATATTTTACCAATACAGTTTAACTTCTATGTTTTTGTTTCAAATTTATTATCTTCCCACAAAATTTTACCTCTGGTCCTGGAGGGCCAGATGGTCCTTGAGATCCTGGGTCACCTGCTTGGCCCTAAAATGGGTGCAGAAGGAATCAAAATAAAAACATTAATAAATACAATTTTAAAAGGAAACATATATGGTAAGCAAAAAGTACTTGATATATTAAACCACACAAAGGTGTAATGATTTTTTAGCAAACAATATTCAATGTATAATGTCAAACAAAGTTGTAATGACTATTCAGAAAGATTTAATTTGTAACCATTATCACTGTGGAAAACATTTAAATAAAATGTGTACTGATATATATTTAATTCTAAGTGTTAGAGATATAAACAAATTAATGAATTAGGTGCTCAAATCAGGAAAAAACTGTGTATGTGTATTACTGAGAAATAAGACAATAAAGTTTGATTCAACAAGGTAGGGGACTCCAGATGAGAAACTGCTTTCATTTCTAGTCCTGTCTGAAAATTCCTCTCTCCTTTCATATTATAAAGGACCTGATTTAGTAACTAAGAATCACCTGGATTTAAATTCTTGTTGCTTAATCTCTCTAAGCCTCAGTTCTCTCATCAGTAAAATAAATAATAGTAATACATTCTTAGTTATTATGAGGATTAAATGAGACTATATATGTAAAGTACTAAACACAGTGCTTGTCACATAAAAGTACTCTTTAAATGTTAACCAATTTTATAACTATTACTCCTTCCCCTCACATCCTCTCTTCTACTCTCCTCTCCTGGATGATACCTAGAATTCCTAGATGGTTTTGATCATTTAATTAAAAATTTAAAGATTTGGTTTCAACATCTCTGAAACCATTTTTGAGGGTTGAAGAGGATGGCAGAAGAGAGAGAGTTGGGTATAAAGCCTGAAACTAGAGAGGGCTAGCAACACTCTCATGATGAAAGTGTAGAATGGCGAAGGCCAGTAGTCTGAGACCCTTGTCTTTATTAGGAAAAACTACTGATTTTATTATTTCTATCATACTAAATTTCTGTTTGAGTTTCAAATTTGACTTTAGTTCTCAGGTTACATAAATTGCAAGATACATGTTTATCTTCTTTCCTAGAAGTAAAGCAGTTTTCCACATACACTAAATCTATTTTCATGTAGTGCTAGAGTATCTGACAAAACAATATACAACAATTGCAGTGAAATCTAGAGAAAAGTAATGAAATATTATGCAAAGTTCATTTATGCTTTCCTAAATAAATTAAATCATAATCCATCATCATCAGTATCTAGGAAAGTCAAATTTTTTTTTTTGGTAATGGTTTTTATTTTTATTTTTTTTATTTTATCAAGGTACAATTGATTATTATATTATATTGGTTTTAAGTACACAACACAGTGATTCAACAGGTACCCACATTATTAAACCTCACCCCACTAGTGCAGTTACTATCTATCAACATAGAAAGATGTTACAGAATCATTGACTAGATTCTCCATGCTGTATAGGGAAGTCAAGTTCTTGAGATGACAAGTACCTCTCTTAAAGAGACATGGGGCTCTCACTGGGCCCTCTAGTGGCAAAAAAAACCAAGCAAAAAGATAAATTTACAAGCTGTTGAGTTAAAAATAGCATACCCTAGGCCTGTTTTCAGAAAAGTTGACTGACAACCAGATATTAAAACACATAAATTGTAGATTTATTCATTCTTAAAAATAATTCTTCACTTTGAAAAACTTCATTTGCAAGATTCCTTGAACGTCAATTCTCCATTATAAAAACCGAGTTTTAAAGTTACAGGATTGAAAATAATTGTAAACCTTTATAATTGACAGAAATTCTGGTTAAAATAATGGAAAGAATATAGCAATTACCTTTGTTTTCTCTGTTTTAAGGAAAGAATATTTCTTAACAACCTGAGATTGGTAGTTTTCTCTAGCTTTTTGCTTGCCTAGTAAAAAGCTTCCATATTCCAAAATATAAAAACCTCCTGGATCAGGACATTCTTTCTCATATCTTAAAAATATTCTTTTCATGTTACAACTTACATCTATTTGGAAATAGCATCAGTAACACCAGCCTCTTAGATAACAGAAAATCAAAAGCAGGAGAAATAAAATAAGAAAGAGATCCTTATAACTATGGCATTCCTTCCAGAAGAGTAAACAAATGATTTAGATAAGCAGTGATTTGTATAATTTATTTTTAATATGATAACTGATTCTTGGTCAGCAATTTTTCATGAAACAGGTGTCTCTTCCCATAACTAAGAAAGGTTTGTAGGGCAAACCTCTACATTTTTCTTCTATTAATGAGATACAACCTAGTGAAAAGTAACATGATAGAATCAAGACAAGGCCATAAGAAAAATACTAATTCATAAGTCTTTATCCTGTCTTCAGCCCAAAATATATATTTTTTCAGATTTGACAAAACAAAAGACGGTCATGTATCTCCTACTAAGGTAATCCCTGCTGACATTAAAATAAATTTTTTTTTAAATCAGGATAGTACAGAAAGGTACTAATGAGCAAGTATTTCAGAATCTCATGCTCCCTGCCTCAGTGCCCTAAATGAACCACATTAGTTTCTAGTGATTTATCCCAAGAAAAAAAAAATAGTAGGGGTTTTTAGACAATATGTTGAAGGTGAAATAGACTCTGACTTTTCTTCAGCTTAGTCTAGAGAATTATTGGAAAGCACTATGATAACAGAGGAAAATGTCAAAAAGTTACAGGGCTACAAGGAACCTTCAATATGATATGCCGTGACTTGCATTTTAAACATGAGAAAGTACATACCATGGTGGCTAAATGTTCAAGGTCACAGCGAGTCAAGGTTAGGGCTAGGACTAGAATCAAGTCTCTGTTTTTCAGACCAGTGATTCCTCTACTTCCCCAATAAACATGTTATCAATATAAGTCAAATCAAAGAGCAAGGAAGACATTAAAAAAAGGTTTTCCTTATATAAGCATGATATTTGACTCTAGTTTTCTGAAGTAATTAGTTGTAAAGCATAAAAAAGTAATATTGACATCATTTATTACTTAGTATTGGCCTTAGAAAATGTAGTACCATTTTATTTTATTATTATCAAAAGTTAGAAAACCCTCATATTATAAAAAATAAAGCTGTAAGAAGTTAAGGTCTTATTTTGCCAACTATTACAGATATTGGAAGCCCCTGTTAAATGGTTTAGAATCCTTGAAAAACAGAAGCTTTTTATTGGTATCATGATCTAATCTCCTGCTCCTTATTTATACACTTTAGAATTTTTGAGATTTAACTTCAGGGTATATGGCTGATCAGGTTTCCTTAGCCCAGGGTGAAAACTAGTAAAAGTGAAACTCATCACCTTCATGTCATTAGATGCAGAAAATTATCCTTTGGATTAAATAATTCCTCAGAGATGTATATGAAGTGCTGTTACTATTAGAAGTCATAAAGAATGAGCTATCTAAAGTTCTGTAACTTAAGACTGCTTCCTTTGATGCAAAAATAAACAACCCTGAAATGTGAGGGTGGAGTTAGAGGGAACATGGTGAATGGCTCAGGAAAGCAAAGCTTCTTAAAATGTGTATTTTAATGTGAATATTTATATATTATAACTATCTAATTTTTTCTATCCTCAATCACCTTCACCTTCACAGACGTGTAATCAATATTAAAATCCTAACAATATTACAATGTTAAAACCTGAAACAGTTTGGCACAGTGGCTAAAATCATGAGCTCTGACATATGGAATTACCTATGTTTTCCCAAATGGCCTCCAGCTAGCTATGGGGCTTTGAGCAAGTTTCTGAACTCTCTGGATAGCAGTGGCCCTAATATGTAAAACAGAAATACCATTACCTACTTCACATGTTTTCTGTTAGGATTAAATTAGAGGTACAGACTTAGAAAAGTGCCTGGTACTTTGTAAACATTCAGTAAATTATAATGATGATTATAATAACATTCAGCTATCATAATGATGATTTTTAATATTCAGAGATAAACTTTTAACTCACATATTGATCATTATTTCAATGATTTTAATTATTTAGGTCTCATGTTAACTACAGTAGAAGGTATCCCTTTTTTTCAACTACCTGATGATTAAGGGTTACAAAAAGATGGATAACTAGAATATTTGGACCCACAAGAGGGTGACATGTTATCTTTTCTTCAGAATCTTTCTTAATGAAACAGGTATCTGAGAAAATTAAATATTAATTAAGGTGCTTTATATTTTCTGGCATAATAGTCCATTGTTTAATTAAAATGTCAATTATAATAGATCAACTAAAAATTGTTAGGGCTCACAGAAATTTGGGAGGGTGAGGTTCAATAGTCAACAGTCTATGGAATGTAAGCTGGAAACTTGAGGGATTGAGCTATATTCTAAAACCATAGACAGAAAATGCCAGACTGGTAGGCTTATATGCTACTTCTTATGTTCTACCAATAATACCAACAAGTATGAAGGCTTGTGCCATGGTGGGCACTCCAGCAAACAGAAAGAGCAAAGCCAAAGTTCAAACCTACTGAAGGTCCTGGCTTTCCTCTCATCCCTGATGGTCCTGGAACACCAACAGCACCCTAAAAGAGAATAGTGGAGGAAAGAGAAAAGCTATTATATTGCAAAAGGCAGATATGCCTCTATATGCAAACTACTAAAAATATTCTTGGAATTACTGTTTAAAAAAAGGAGAAAACTGTTTCAAGCAAGACCTATAATACTAGAATCATACCATATCCTGACAAAATGCATGGCTAAGATAATAAATGTTCTTTTCTTTTTAAAGAATTTATACTTTCCACTAGCTTTTTTTGTATTTATATAAATTAATGGTAAAAAAAAGTACCTTGTCTCCAGGATACCCTGGCTCTCCTGGCTCTCCTGCAATGCCTTGTTCACCCTACAGAGCACAGTTTCATACAGACACTTAAGTAAAGCAAATCTGGCAATATCAGAAGAAAGTAAATACTGATTACAGAAGAGTAGTTTGTCTATTTTTCCTACTTCTGAGAAAAATTACATAATTAATAGTACAGATTAGATCCCATATATCAAAACAAAATATTTTGTAAGTTGAGTTGACTGAACAGAAGAAAATTTAATGTGATATGATATTATCTCTATGATAATGTAAATATTTAAATCACCTTATCACCTTTGATTCCATGTAGGCCCTTACTCCCGGAAAGACCCTAAGAAAAGAAAATGATATACTGTGATATCACAGAGAAATTAAAGGGAAATATCCATTCTGCAAATAGAAACATACCACTGGTCCAGGAATTCCAGAAGGTCCAATTGGTCCCATAGGGCCAACACTGCCCTGAAAATCAGTAAGACAAAATGATATAATTAAGCATCCCCTAAGATTAGAAAGAGAATATGGTAAAACTAATGAATTGACCCACAACGTTCATCTCACTGAGCCTCCACACATGCCTTGTTCTTCAACAACTTCTTTTACTCTTCCCATTTATAAATTACACCAATCTTTTAAACTTTCATGAGGTCCACCTGTTATGAAGCGTACTAATATTGTTCTAGTACAAAATGATCCTTCCCTTCCTTGAGCTCCTATAATACTTACTGCCAATGACAAACATTTTGAAATATTTCTCCAGCTAGATTAATATCTTGAAGCTAGGGAAAATGTTTTAGTTCAATGCGCCCAGGAAGGATTCAATAAATATTTCATTTATTTAGTCTTAAATCTTTATTAGATTTAGCCTTGGATTGCCTGAGATTTTTATTTCACCTGTTTATTCAGCAAATATTTATTGGGAGGTTACTATGTTCCAGTTATTCCAATGATTTTATTTCATGATTTTTATTTTCAGAATGAAATTCATAATTTCAGCGATGAACTGATTACTAAACAAAAGATGCTACTCTTCTGGGCTTCTCTCATTCATTCATCATTTAATATTTGTTGAGCATAATATGTACCAGACACTGTAGTAGTGTTGAGGAAATAAAGATGAGAAATACATAGTCACCAAAGTAAAGATTCTCAGTTTAATGCTTCAATGCGAGATTCCTCAAAAATGTAACTACCACTGTCATCTTCTGCAAGAAAGACCTACTTAAAAAAACTCCTTCAATATATCATCATTCTAAGATGACAGAGGACAATAGCAACAATAAGGGCATTTGAAGGTAAAATTTTTAAAAATGGTAGATATCTCTCGATGTATTTGGGATCACTTAGAATTTTTGTGTCACTGACACCTTTATTTTTCTTCTTTCTCTTGCTACCTCTCTGTGCCTGGCTACTACAGCACACTTCATCCTCAAAGACCGTTTCTTTATGTCTCACTTTTAAGGATTCCAAATGTTAAGGTACTTTTAAAGCTGTATTATGCTGAAAATATTGCCCTTTTTAGTTACAAGCCAAATTTCATAGGATAGTATCCCAGGCCCTCACTACCAGGTTTCCACCAACCCTTTCCACTAATCTTCCATTTATCCCTATTCCCTCTTTACTTTCCCTCCTCCAAATTGACATGCTATCCACAATGGGCTGTTTTCCATTCTCAGAATATGCTCTCTTTATCACATGTGCCAAACCCTTGAGGATACGGTTACCAATACCAGAATGCCCTTCTACTACGCTCAGTATATTAAATTACACTGTACTTTTTTGCCATCTTTGGTCTGCCCATTCAGTGAGAATAGATTCCTGTTTTATTCATTTTTTGTTTCCTAGACTGAAATAGTAACTGGCACATAATATTTTCAAATAAAGTATGGGATAAATACTCGAGGCAGTAGTCAACTTTAAAAATAAAATTAAAACAGTGATTTCTAGAGTTCTATCTCCCAAAATAACAGAGCATTTCTAATAGATCACATTTATACAACATAAATTTCAAGATGGAAAATATGACCTCTTCTGAGAGAGTCCTAAAGTCTATAAAATAAAACTAAGAAATCATTTCCAACTTGAATCTTGAAATACATGGGACTGTGAGAGGCAGAGAGTAATACTTTCCAACTTAACAAACAGACATGCAATATTTACACATCATTGACAAATTCTGCCAGTTGGAAACAATTACTTTTATAATTACAGTGACAAGTTTATTCAAAGTTCATAGCTTTAAAACTTAAAAGAGTTTCAAAAAATGCAACAAACATCTTTGGAAATTATGTGGCAATAATCTATGTAAGTATAGAAAGGAATACCTTACAAACATTTCTTTGTCCTTGTTTTTTCAATGGACAACATAAAATTAACTTTGTTTCAGTTAATACATTACTGTGCACAGTTTGTTATCTTCAGATGAATGTACTTTGTATGTATAGTATCCTATTTTACTTTTTAGTGTAAAAGAAGCTACACTAAAAGAAATATCACAAAATAGCAAGTATTGGGAGACATCAAAAAAACATATATGTTATAAAGATTTAGTAAAATAGAGAATTAAAAAGCAAGATTGTACAGGTATAGAAATTTCCAAAAAACATCAAACATTCTGGCTTGTCACAAATTGTATTGAAAATCCTAATCCTGAAAAACTGTAGCCTTCTAAAAGCAACCCGTGATAGGTTAAGGGCAGTTTGCAGTTCTCTAAGGACAATCTGAAGGTTCCCCAGCGCTCCCCACCCACCCACTCCTTTTCCATGAGAAGATGGAGTAGACATAGGAAATACTTTCATGTATGGGACCTTAGCTGAGGGTGTCTGGGATATAGCACCAGAGGCAGCAGGGCCTCCCACACAGGCATAAATGTAGAGAGCTTCTGAGGCAAAGTAAGTGAAAACAAAAACAGAACCAATGATAGGTCTTTATATAAAAACAGCAGTGACTTAAAGAGTTCATATGAGTGAGCATATTGTGGAAAAAGACTGAGTTTCACATTGGGATTTCAACCACAACCACCCACACTCAAGATGATAATCACTGTCACTAATTAAGAAAGCAAATGATAGTAACAACCAATTACATGGAAAAATAATTTAGAGAAAGCACTATTGTCTCTTCTCAGAAACTGTACTTCCTATAAGGGAACACCTGAGAGAGAAAGCAGAGGCTGCAGCTTTGATCAAGCAGATGAGCTGTTTATTATGAAATATAAAGGTTCTGTATAATCTTTCCCAATAAGCTTCAAAACCTCATCTCCTTCCACTCTGCTCTCATCTCCCCATACTTCCTAGGCTACAATCCCTCTACTCCTCTTTCCATTTCCAAACATTGCATTTATCACCTCTTCTATGTATTCGAAAAGGATTCTTCTGCCTACAGAGCCCCTTTCCCTTTTCCACTCCATCCCACTCATGCACAATTTTCATGATACAGCTTAAAAGACATCTGCTTTATGAAGTCTACTCTGACTTCTTGGGATAATACAAATGGCTCCTTTCTCAGTGGCTTTACTTCTGTCCATTATAGTAGTAATCACTTTATATGATGTTGCTTATTTTTCATCCATGCCACTAGATTAAAATGTGGCCAAAAATACAAATCTTCACTTGTCTGTATTTTTAGGCCTAGCACCTAGTTCAGCTTTTGATACATAGTAAGTGCTTACATCATTTTGAATGTTTTAATCAAAATGGAGGTGGTAATACCTGTTCTATCTACTTTAAAACTCATTTGGAACAAATGAGATGTCTATGTGAAAATACTTTGAAAAGTATGAAGTACTACCTGTACAAGGATTACAAAAATGACTGCTAGTGTCAGAAACTATTTTCTTTTCTGTAGAATCTCTTCCCGTCTACAAAGGCTGAGTAGAGAAAGAAAAGAAAACCCAGTTATTTTTACTGAGCACTGTTAGTGTTGGCTCTGTGCTTAGTCCTGGAACTGAAAGAGTAAGAGTTAACTATTGGGCAGGAAAGTAGGGTAGAGAGCTTCAGGGAAACAAGTGCAAAGGCCGGATGGGAGGCTGAGAAGGAGCAGCTTTGCTAGTGCACACGGTTCGCTGTGAAGATGCAGGTAAAAACCAGATCAGCCTTAACACCTTAGGCCACGCTAAGAATGTTAGTAGTAATCTTAAGTGTAACAACATAAGCTTCTGAGCTGAAAGGTGCATGAAGAGTATCTTTGGAGTCCAACTCCCTTCCCATTTGCTTTTTCTTCCCACCACTAAGGCCACTGACTACCACCTACAAGGGTAACCCTATTCTGAGAAAAAAATGTGATCCTTTGCGTTCCACCTTCACATACTGCTTCTTATGGAATCTAAAGAAATCTCAGAAGAGAAATAGTATTCATTTTCAAGTAATTTAAGTTTTAAGGAGTTGTTATAGCATAATGGACAGAATTTTGGACTCTGGATTTAGATCACCTAGCCTCAAATCTGGGCTGAACACCTGTAAGCTAAGTGACCTAACATTTGTGACTAGAACATAGAATATACTAAATAAAAATGAGCTGTTGTTGTTAATTTTATTATTACTCTACTAATATTTCATGTAAGAGAAAAGTTTAAATTTCTTAGACTCACTCAGAGTCTTTGACTCTTAGTTCTATCCTCTTGCCAACCCCAAAGCAAGTTAAAACTTGTTATGCTGATTTTCCTTTAGCCCAGTTATCATCTTCTGCTTTGGAGAAGTTAAGATGGGGAAAGAACATTAAATTTAGAGTCGGAAGACCTGTGTTCAAGTTCAAGCTAAAAATGCTGTGGCTACAGTTTGTGGCATAAAACTCTAGAGTCTTAATTATGTACTTGATGTGTCAGAGCAAAAGCTCCATAGTAATCTTTAAGGAAAATCTTCCCTCTGCCCATGGTTATGTCCTACTTTTATATGGATACACAGTTCACTTCTATTTTCATTAGGCTCCTTACATTTGAGAAAAGTACATCAATCTTGCCTATTGCCCAGCTGAATGTTAAAGTGTATGGCTCTAAATTTATTTAAAATATCTGCAATTCATGTCCCTGTCATGAACCATAATTTGGCTGAGAGAAATGTATTTATAAAGATATATCAGAAGTAGCAGTCTGTTTACTCCAATGAATAGTCTGAAGTTTACTGGAAAGCTACATATCTGGATTTTACTGCTTTGGCCTCCATAGATCTGCTGTTACTAAACCTTATTTTGCCTACATCAGAAACTCCAGTGAAACTTAGAGTTGAATTCACTGTTTAAAACCTGATTAAGTATATAAATAATATAGTCACTTTTATTTTTAGTATAATAAATAAGTTAGGTATTAAAGTGTTTAACAACATCGAAGTCCAGTAAATACCTTTTGTTCACAATGGTCTTTTTAACCATTTATCCAATTTAATCCCATAAATCAGGTTTACAGTTACCACGTGGTATGGTGTGGTGTGGTGTGGTATGTTATGGTAGTATGGCATGGCATGGTATTTAGACCTACCCGTGTCTCTCTGGAACAGATGATGTGAAAGACTATCTCAAATAAAAGAAGTAGCTGTTCTATGTCATAGTTTTAAAGAAACTGGGTGCTAATTAAGTATCTTTTAATGAGACCAGACATAAATACAGATGTTCACATAAATCTGAAGAAATGTGTTATTTCAAGTCGTTGTAAGGTATAAGTACTTTTTTGATTCATATCACTGGTTTAATTCGCATATTTGGTAGAAAAATACATTTGAGCAAGGTTGGTATAAAACAATATCACTGAAACCTCTCATTTTTCTAAAGTTATTAAAACATATCTAACATATACAAATAAACAAAATATTTGGTACTCACTCTAAGTCCAGGAAATCCTGAAGGACCAATGCTACCCACAAGTCCCTATGTAAAAGAAATGTGCAAAGTTGGTTAAATATGATTCCAAACTAGATAAGTATTTTCTAAAGATGAAGACAAAAATTTCTAGGGAAAAAAGTACCAAATTTTACCTTCCTCTGTAGTTAACTCTGACATTTCCCTACTCTTATGCATTGTACTAAGAAGCACAAATCTTTGGCGCCTTTTCATTTCACTTTATGTCCTTCAAAAATGCCCTGGGCTCCATGCTTTTGGATACTAGGATTACCACCTAGCTCGGATACAGATTTCCTATGTCTCCTATATATCTAATAAAGGGAGTAAATCCCATTAATAACCAGCATTACAGACATAACTAGCCTATATACTGTATGAAAAGATAAGTGGCCAGCATATAAGATTAGAAGAACATTTTCAGATAGTTTAAAACACTGTCAATTCCTTTAAAGTACATTATTTAAATTCTCGAAGCCAGTTTTCTCATTTATAAAAACAGGAATAATATTTTTCTCATTGTTATAAAGATCACAATGTAAATTGTCATGTATAAGAGGTTTTGAAAATTTTCATAAAGCACTTAACAAAGGTAGAAAATTACCAACATTGTTAAATTATTTACATAAATATGAGATTAAATTATCAACATTAATTTTTCTAGTTGATTTGGGATGGTCTTTAAGGTAATTCCTAACCCACTCCACGTCATTGTTTCATTATTTACATGATAGAAGGTAGAAGAATAGCCCCCTCTTCTTTTTTATTTTGTATTTTAAATTCTGTTTTGAGATGAAGACAGAGTAAAATACAGAGAAATAAACCTATAAACTAAAAATACCAAGTTTATTCTTACATTTTAAAGATTTTAACACTCAGAATGCTTTTCAAGAGCATTATGTTATATATTTAAAGAGCAGATTTCAAAAAGAAAAAATTTTAAATATGGAAGGGAACCCATCCCTGCCAAAGTTCATGTATGTTTAACCGACTATTTAAAATTAAATAAGATGCCTTCACACTGGGTATGCAAAACATAAATGTTATTAAAGAAAAAAGTCAATAATACTTACTCTATTCTGCTTGAAATGATATGCTCTCCAGAATCATGAGCAAGAAAAAGATGAAATACTCTACCTAAAGTATCATTCAAGCTTTTAACAATTTACTTGGAAATCAATTCTACTCTTTCCTTATCTACCAAGCCTTGTGACAAAATTTTGGCAAAATGAACTGAATAAACTAATATAGTTACATTTTAGAAGAATAAATAAAGAAGAAATTATTTTCAAATACCTTATTTTATGTATAAATGCTATTAATTTACATTTATCTAAATGGAGGAACTCTTCCTTATTTAGGCTGTAAGGATTTTGTGGTTGATTCTAATTCACATTAAAATCTTATAGAAAGAATGTGTGTATGGAATAGATTGGGGGTAGCTGTTGGATGCACCTTGAGAACCAAAAAGTAAAGATTTTTGGTATTTTTTCTGTCAAAAAGCAGCAATCAATCATCACTCTTTGATAATGTAATTTAACTGTAGAATGGGAATACCCTAATCTGAACATTGGTATCTGAATACTCCCAGAAAAGACTTCTCTACACAATACTGAAAAGTAAGGTATATTAATGATAGCTTTGAGCCCCAAAGAGCAATTGCTGAGAGCACAATTTTTACCTGAGGCTTCTTAGTACCTTCATGTACATGAAAGGCTTCTTCCCCACATGCCCCCCACCCCTGAAAAATATACAAGTCAGCATGTAATATATACTTTCTCAATATTTATAAAAGAATATTTTAAAAATATTTATAAATATTAGAAATATAATATTTTTCTAATATTTTAGAAATGTAACTTCCAATATTTAGAGATGGATATTTCTAATATTTTACTTAAGCAGTCACATTTAACATGGTCAAATAATTAATTTTAAGGATTATCTCTCAAGATAAAATTTATTCATAACATTTTTGGCTTATTTCCTATGTTGAAAAATCGAAGTGGAATGTGTACAGTGGTGTTGAAACTGTCTGGCCAACAGTCCCTAACTACAAGTGTGGCATCGCCGGTGGCAGCGCAGCTGCTCTGCAGTCTGAGTGACGAGAGAGTGCAAGGCGGACCATCCCAATGTACTCACGGGACTGCCATCCGGACCCGCAGGGCCTCTGCCTCCAAAGTCGCCTGGAAAACCCTGGCCCAGGGGAGAGGAAGAAATGCTTTTAAAGCCGACATAAATAATTTTCTGGTAAGGAACTTAGTAATAGGACATATTTACTTCCTAACCCCTAAACTGTAGTGCATCAAAAATTTGTACTTGTTTTTATAATGCTTCATTGATTTTAAGAACAATAATTCTATATTTTATAAAAATTACTTTACATGCCACATAATATATACAAAAAGCTAAGCTGGAGAAAATAGAAATTTATTCATCAGTATAAAAAGAATCACCAGTCTACAAAGAGTGAGAGGAAGCATAACCAGGATTTCTAGCTGACCAGTCCATTTGTCATCTCTGCTACTTCATGCTGTTCCCATACCCACACCACAAAGAATGAAATGGTGAATATTAGTTAAGCATGTGCTTAGCATGCTTACCATATACTAAAGGTTTTATACACATTATCATGTACACATTACTTCACCTCATCTTCATAACACATCGAATCAATGAATATTGTCCTCATTTTGCAGTTGAAGAAATGAAAGCACAGAGAAGCTAAGCCCCTTGAACCTACTGGTGACAGTTGGCACTGAGATTTGGAGGCAGTCTGTTTGCTGAGTCAATGCTCTTTCTACTGTGCTATAGTGACTACTTTAACTCACCATTCCAAGATATGATACAACATGTAAAAAAAAATCATTTAAGTACTATTTTATTGGGGAAAGGCATAATGTGTATAAATATTGCAACCATAAAATGTGGTGCCACTCAAAGTTAAGCTTCCCAAATGCCTACTGAGAATTCTACACTGTAATACTATGAAAGGAAAGTCACACACTTTCTCATTATAAATTCTATCTTAAAGTAACTCAGTTACTCAGTTACTCTTACTTTACATACTAAGTTTTTCTGTAAAGATTTATCATCGGATTTATCAACTTTAAAGGTCCCTTTTTAAAAGGCTACTTTACAAATGGTGTATAAGATTTATTATTATAACATTTTAATAACATTCATTAAAACATTTTTTTAAAAACTATAAAAAAGTAGAAGTACATTATTAGATTCTTACGATCTTTTTATTTGGGCAAGCCAGTATTAAATGTTACATATTTAATAGATTTATTTATTAGATTTTTTCAACCAATTAAAAAGATGGTTTAACAATGTAAAATATGTATGCTGTTCCTAAAACATAGGTTACTCATACTAGAAGCAGTTTCTCTCACTCTGTAATCAGAGGATAATGCAAACACCATCTGTGCAGTCAAACATATTGTAGCTATACTCCCTTCAAAGTCAGCTGAAGTTCAGGCAGGCTTTTTGCTTTCACTGTACTTGGAAGTCAAATTCTATTGTCAACAAGCTCACAAATCTGCAATACATCATTCTATTCAGGATGAGCTAATATGGGTATTTGAAAGCATTTATGATGCACAGGTAATGGAAAAAGTAGAGGAAAAATTCTGTAATAAATCTGAAACATAAGAGATGATTGATTTCTTAGAAAGAGCCTAAGTAGGTTTTTCAGAAACTTCAGTGAAATAATAAAGATTAGGGGACATATTACATGATACTATTAATGTGAAATGTCCAGAATAGGCAAATCCATAGAAGACAGGAAACAGATTAGCAGTTGCCTGGGGCAATGGTGTTGGGAGAATAGGAAAGTGACTTCTAATGGGTACAGGGTTTGTTTCTGAGGGACGACAATAGTCTAAATGAGTGTGATGGCTACACAACTCTGAATTTACTAACCACCACTGAACTGTGTATTTTAAAAGGGTAAATTTTATGCTATGTGAATTATGATTCAACAAGTTTTTCTTAAAAAATGAAGACACACTCCATCTGAACTAGAGGCAGAGGGGACTTCTTAAAACATCCTTGGGGACTCACACAGGACCGTCCAGAGGATATGCTGTTTGGACTTATGGGCTCCCATCCTTGTTCAGTGGGATGAGCTGGTCTCCAGTCAGCTTCCCACAAAATAGTGGTCTCTCAGGTAGGAGACAGGAAAGGGAGAGAACTCTGAATGGTTCTCCATCTATCACAAAATGTGTTACTTTCTATAAGCAGTGTAAAAATGAAGAAATGCTTATTAATTTCAACTTGTTCTTCTAGTAGTTCAATAATATGCATAATAAGTATTAGCTGGTCACCTTGAATTTGCCCCTAAAACAATTTAGTTGAACTAATATTCACTTTTAAAATTTTTATCTATTATTTCTCCTCTCACTTTAATACCCTTTAAACATTTCATTTCATTTTTAATTCCATTCATCTTATTATCCTTGTGACAAAATTTTGGCAAAATGAACTGAATAAACTAATATAGTTACATTTTAGAAGAATAAATAAAGAAGAAATTATTTTCAAATACCTTATTTTATGTATAAATGCTATTAATTTACATTTATCTAAATGGAGGAACTCTTCCTTATTTAGGCTGTAAGGATTTTGTGGTTGATTCTAATTCACATTAAAATCTTATAGAAAGAATGTGTGTATGGAATAGATTGGGGGTAGCTGTTGGATGCATCTTGAGAACCAAAAAGTAAAGATTTTTGGTATTTTTTCTGTCAAAAAGCAGCAATCAATCATCACTCTTTTGATAATGTAATTTAACTGTAGAATGGGAATACCCTAATCTGAACATTGGTATCTGAATACTCCCAGAAAAGACTTCTCTACACAATACTGAAAAGTAAGGTATATTAATGATAGCTTTGAGCCCCAAAGAGCAATTGCTGAGAGCACAATTTTTACCTGAGGCTTCTTAGTACCTTCATGTACATGAAAGGCTTCTTCCCCACATGCCCCCCACCCCTGAAAAATATACAAGTCAGCATGTAATATATACTTTCTCAATATTTATAAAAGAATATTTTAAAAATATTTATAAATATTAGAAATATAATATTTTTCTAATATTTTAGAAATGTAACTTCCAATATTTAGAGATGGATATTTCTAATATTTTACTTAAGCAGTCACATTTAACATGGTCAAATAATTAATTTTAAGGATTATCTCTCAAGATAAAATTTATTCATAACATTTTTGGCTTATTTCCTATGTTGAAAAATCGAAGTGGAATGTGTACAGTGGTGTTGAAACTGTCTGGCCAACAGTCCCTAACTACAAGTGTGGCATCGCCGGTGGCAGCACAGCTGCTCTGCAGTCTGAGTGACGAGAGAGTGCAAGGCGGACCATCCCAATGTACTCACGGGACTGCCATCCGGACCCGCAGGGCCTCTGCCTCCAAAGTCGCCTGGAAAACCCTGGCCCAGGGGAGAGGAAGAAATGCTTTTAAAGCCGACATAAATAATTTTCTGGTAAGGAACTTAGTAATAGGACATATTTACTTCCTAACCCCTAAACTGTAGTGCATCAAAAATTTGTACTTGTTTTTATAATGCTTCATTGATTTTAAGAACAATAATTCTATATTTTATAAAAATTACTTTACATGCCACATAATATATACAAAAAGCTAAGCTGGAGAAAATAGAAATTTATTCATCAGTATAAAAAGAATCACCAGTCTACAAAGAGTGAGAGGAAGCATAACCAGGATTTCTAGCTGACCAGTCCATTTGTCATCTCTGCTACTTCATGCTGTTCCCATACCCACACCACAAAGAATGAAATGGTGAATATTAGTTAAGCATGTGCTTAGCATGCTTACCATATACTAAAGGTTTTATACACATTATCATGTACACATTACTTCACCTCATCTTCATAACACATCGAATCAATGAATATTGTCCTCATTTTGCAGTTGAAGAAATGAAAGCACAGAGAAGCTAAGCCCCTTGAACCTACTGGTGACAGTTGGCACTGAGATTTGGAGGCAGTCTGTTTGCTGAGTCAATGCTCTTTCTACTGTGCTATAGTGACTACTTTAACTCACCATTCCAAGATATGATACAACATGTAAAAAAAAATCATTTAAGTACTATTTTATTGGGGAAAGGCATAATGTGTATAAATATTGCAACCATAAAATGTGGTGCCACTCAAAGTTAAGCTTCCCAAATGCCTACTGAGAATTCTACACTGTAATACTATGAAAGGAAAGTCACACACTTTCTCATTATAAATTCTATCTTAAAGTAACTCAATTACTCAGTTACTCTTACTTTACATACTAAGTTTTTCTGTAAAGATTTATCATCGGATTTATCAACTTTAAAGGTCCCTTTTTAAAAGGCTACTTTACAAATGGTGTATAAGATTTATTATTATAACATTTTAATAACATTCATTAAAACATTTTTTTAAAAACTAAAAAAAAGTAGAAGTACATTATTAGATTCTTACGATCTTTTTATTTGGGCAAGCCAGTATTAAATGTTACATATTTAATAGATTTATTTATTAGATTTTTTCAACCAATTAAAAAGATGGTTTAACAATGTAAAATATGTATGCTGTTCCTAAAACATAGTTACTCATACTAGAAGCAGTTTCTCTCACTCTGTAATCAGAGGATAATGCAAACACCATCTGTGCAGTCAAACATATTGTAGCTATACTCCCTTCAAAGTCAGCTGAAGTTCAGGCAGGCTTTTTGCTTTCACTGTACTTGGAAGTCAAATTCTATTGTCAACAAGCTCACAAATCTGCAATACATCATTCTATTCAGGATGAGCTAATATGGGTATTTGAAAGCATTTATGATGCACAGGTAATGGAAAAAGTAGAGGAAAAATTCTGTAATAAATCTGAAACATAAGAGATGATTGATTTCTTAGAAAGAGCCTAAGTAGGTTTTTCAGAAACTTCAGTGAAATAATAAAGATTAGGGGACATATTACATGATACTATTAATGTGAAATGTCCAGAATAGGCAAATCCATAGAAGACAGGAAACAGATTAGCAGTTGCCTGGGGCAATGGTGTTGGGAGAATAGGAAAGTGACTTCTAATGGGTACAGGGTTTGTTTCTGAGGGACGACAATAGTCTAAATGAGTGTGATGGCTACA